AACCAAAAGAAGAAATCCTTCCTTCACTGAGGGACTGGTACCTTTTACAGCCAAATAAAAAATTATATCTTACTCTCACTTTAAGTCTTAAGTGCTAAATTACCAACAGCACAATTAACTGAATGATCAGACATTTGCCTCTTTCCGGAAGTTTCAGGTCTTCTTTAAGGTTCTCAACTCAAATAATTCATAATTTCTTAATTTTGTCAGTCTTAAGAGTCAGTACATTTTGTCAGGACAAAGTTCACTACCAGTACGGATTGTTCTCTCATAATTTTGTTCCTCCTGTCTTCCACAGTGCCTAAAGCAGAGGGTCCGCTCAGAAACATGAAATTTAATCAATTTGAAATTTGGCTCACTAATTACAGACCTTCATGAAGACTACCCTTCTCTGTATATAATCCATTGTCAGTGTCAAGATAATCAAAAGCGCCTACCTTCAATGGAATGACTCAGTTTTGTCCAATTTTTTTATTCCTCAGATAGGAAAAAACACAAACTTCCTACACCATTACAGTTTCAAGAACAATTTAAAAATTGTTTCAATAAAAATGAAGCCTCTAGGAATGATGAGATGTTTTCTAAGCCTGTATGCTAAGATGTCTTTTCAAGCATATGACCTCATTTGCTAAGTTGAGAATGTTACACTTCATTAATAATGGCTAAATATTAGTTCAAGGTGAATAAAGAACAATCTGTTAAAAAAAATTTAAAAAATAAAAGCAAGTTTGAAATAATTTTCATCAAATAGTATCTCGCGATGCCCCTCCTGAGCCTCTGTTTAAGTGGTTCTTTCTGTAGTGACAGTAATGAAAGCTTAAATCTAAACTCAGTGGGTCTATTCAGACACCATTTGCAGAAATGTCTTGAAGTTCAGTCTTCTAGCACTGCACTAGAACAGTAAGGAAACCTTAAAGGAACAATGCTCTTTCTGCTCAACTACCTTTCAAAATATATAGGAGATTAGAGCATAACATTCAGTCTACCTTTTTGAGTTTTTTATTAGATAAGATTCTACTTGACCTGCTAAACTGCTGCATACATATGGGCATAATCTGTATGATTACATATAATAGATATAATTGGATAAAACATACTGTGTATACTAATGTTAGAGTGTCTGCATCCCAGATATATCTACTTTTATCCTCTTTAATTGCAGGTGTTGAAGTAAAATGTTCAGTTGTTTTGATTTAAACTTTTTTGGAAATTAAACTTATAGTCATAAATCACCACTAATTATTTTAATAGGGTCATTTAGGATATGAAGATGTCTTTAGAAGTCCATACATTTTCTTGACAATTTTATGACCGTAGCTTGTATACTGTGATTCTGCCAATTCATGCATGTGGCATTATGTCATAAATTACCACATTTATTTTGGCATGACTCGGCGCATTAATGAACAGTGTCTCTATTACTTAGATATGTAACCTATCTGAAATACAGAATTCAACATCCAAAATAAAGGAACACTCAGAAATAAACAAATGCTTAGATAAGGTAGGTATGAGGACTGGGATTTTACAAATGAGTTGGGATGCAACTCTAATTGAAAGACATAAAACCCTAAATGTCGAACTCTGAAGTAGTCTTCAAAGTTCAGCTTAAAAGAAAATTCTGACATCAAGCACTGTACCTTATGCAGGACTTCTAATAACACAAATGTGATTCACCTAATACGCAGCTTTTTATACAAGTTTGAGGAAAAACAATTAAGTAGTAACTCTTGCTGTAATATTAACCTAGAGAGATAACTTTCCCTGGCAAAATCTATAAGATTTAAGATAAAGTATATGTTACAATGTGAGCTATTAATAGTGTGTCATATTTGGGGGAAAAGCAGCTAGGCTTGATTATAAACCAGATGATATGAAAAATATTACGAACATACCACTCTGATATTGAACTTGATTAGTTCTCAGGCCTTTAGACTTGCACATATTTATGTTTTTACATTTGAGTAGGTCCACGGAAATCAATCATATGTATCAAATAAAATTAAATCAATTTATACAGATTACACACCAAATCAAATTATGTCAGATTACACATCAAGTGCCTAGCAAATAAAAAACCTTCTCCAACAAAAATAGCCCATTCAATACAAAATGACTGCATATTTTAGATATAACAGGCTGCAGCTTAATCATTTCAACCTTTAATTACTGCATCAGATAATGAATATTTTGAACATATGCTTCTCCACTCTGCTAGAAGATATGAATGAAAGAGAAACAAGTTTATCTGCATGCTAGTGTGTGTGCACGTTGGGGGAGGGAGTAAAACGAGAAACAGTAAAAGGAACCAAGTGGCAACAATTGGAAGAAATGGTATCTGCAGCAGCTGCTCCTTTCAGATTCCCCTAGAAGGAGACTGCCTGAGGTGGACCACAGCACAAAAGGATAAAGATGATGAAAACTCTGATGCAAAGCAGGAAAATAACTGCTGAGACCCCTGAGTCTACACCCGAATAGTCCCAAGCTGTGTGGCAAGACCTCTTTAGCATGCTACAGAAGCTGGTGATGAACTACATATTACCATGAGGCAAACTGGCTCCTAGCAGTATTGTCTGCATGTTATGTGTAATGATAACCAGTAGTCCTCTGGGAACAGCATGCAATGATTTCATCTCTGTAAGCATCTGAGCTCCCCTTGGATGCAGAGACCATTAAACGGAGAACAGAAGGGTAAATTTTAGGCAATGATTTCTAATTGGAGAGTGAAGACAACTTGTGCTCAACAGCACTGTCAACCACTGATATTTTATTGCTGTCTTATATTGATCACTGCTAAGGACAAAAGGAAAGTCAAAACTAAAATGTTATCCTTTTCTTACTGTCATAATGCACAATGTATTTTCTGCATGAAAGCACTTCATAGGTTTCCTACATAATGTTATTTGAAATGTCACTATTTTAGGAATCTTTATTTATACTGCAAAGCATTAACATTTTTATTATAGTTAGAACAACATTTTACACTCTAACATAATGTAGATCATTTACGTTTTGTACTATAGAGAATTTATTTCCTTCTTCACAAAAATGCACTTCACTTTCCATACCTGCCAGGTGTCTTTGTCAGATTACAAAAAATAGGCACAAACTATTATGTACATATATTAAATTAATAGTTATTACCTTACAAAACTTAAGATTCCAGATTCTACCCTAAAAAAAATATTCTTCACGTGATAAAAAGAAGATAAACTTCCAAATGATCATTGCAACTTTTGTAGGGAAGGGGAATGTGCAAGGGGAAAGGGGAGAGGGAAAGCAGGAGAAATAAAATCTAAGCAAAATGGACCCTTAAGAAACAGTATCAGGACACCTAATATTTTTGACAGTTGCAAGGCTGGTTTGATCTTTTGTTTAGCATGGAGACTACATCGTCTTGTTGGTTTACAAATTTCTCCTGTGATGCAGAGATCAAATGTGCTAGCAGACTCTTTATTTAGCTCATTTATTTACCTTGCTGCTCTTCATCACCTACACAGCTTATTGTGGCTCTCAAAAACTTAAGAGGAAAAGCTGATACAGTAAAAACACCTTCAAGCTTGTCAGTCAAAAAACAATGCAGATGTAGACGAATTTCAGCACGAGAAATTCTAGCCTAATCAGCCAAACTGTATTGCTGGAAGAGATTAAATATTCTCTCTTTCACTGCTGTTGCAACCATCAGATACAGTTTTATAAAATTACATGTGGCTTTCTCATTTGGAAATACCCTCATATTAAGCTGCAGACTCTAACTGAAACTGATGCGAGAGCAGGCTCTCTGGCTTTTCTGACACTAGAAATTTATCTTCCAACATACACCTCCTACTTTCCAGAATTCAGTTTATTTACACAGAAGAAAGGCCTATCAGTATTGAAGAACTATGCACAAAGACAGTCAAGAACTTCTGGAAAAATCATATCACAGATCATTACCAGCATGCAACAGCATCTCTGAGGAGAGACATCCAGCATCCATCCTACATCATAGAACGCAAGTAAGCCATACTTAAACCCATGCTCAATTCACTCTATGACTATTCTCCTAGTCTATCTCTAAACAAGATAAACCACCACAAAAAAACCATGAAGAACTCTCTCCATAAAAAGTGTTCACTAAAAGAATCCAAAGTCACTCCACAGTTAGTTCAAGGAACAAACAGGAATAGAAACAGTAACTGGCCAGCTGATTAATGGCCTTTGCAATAACCATAGACAAAACGTATTAGAACAACTAGATTCTCCCAAAACATTTTTAAAGTGGGTGATGGAAGACTGTTACTTCTCTGGTGACCAACACAGACAAATGAAGTTGATACTAAGCACTCCTCTCCCACTGACCTATGATGGACTAGAGGAATCCTCTTTCTAGGATTCTCACATGTAGAATTCTAACCTTCCTTAACCATCATCTATGGGAAGCTCAAGGGAAACACGACAAGAGGAGCATGAACTCAAACATCAACACATCAACAACAGTGACTACATCAGTACTACAGCTTGTTGACACCAAAAGCAAATCATATTTCTTCCACATTCCTGATGTTTTGAGAAGCACAACACGTGGACTGATAAATTTGTAACTGTTGCTCACAAAGGTGCTGTATCAGACTAGTTTCCTTACTTCCAAAAATGAGGCAATTGCTTACATTATGTATGAATATGTACATACATATTGTTTGTGTGTGCATATAAATATATGTGTGTGTGTGTGTGTGTGTGTGTGTATGTATGAATACAAGAAAAGAAAGTTAGTCATGTATAAATTAACTTTCCAATTTATATTATTTCTACAGATCCAAGGCTAGAAAGTCTGTAAGTTCCGGAACTTTTTGAAATCATAATTTCTTAAGCCCACGGATCCCTGTCTATGGAACTAGATACAAGGTCTGTGAGCCAAATCTCTTTATATGTTTTCCACTGTCCAAAACTTCTATGAAGATACCAAGTAGCTAGAGGAAGACATAGGAAAAGCTAAAGTAACTTTAAAATAAACTTACTGGTATTGCTCTCTGTTCTTCTCCAGCAAAATGATATGCTAAACCTAAGCAATAGGCCGCTTCTCCTTCCATCTTCATATCACCTCCTGAAGAAAGGATTAAAGTTACCAGTGTAGTCTGAACACAATTACATTTCTATGGACAGTTCTGGCAGGTATTTAAATAACTTGCAGATATTTAAATATTATAGTAAGTCTTTCCTTTTCCTTATCCTTGCCATTTGTTTCTTTCCAAAAATACCTGTTTTCTAAATATAGCTGGAGATGATTGAAAATAAAGGCTATAAGTTCAACAAATAGAGAATACGTTTGCCTGTGATGTAGCACAATCGATTTAACATGCTGTAGGGCTCTCTATCATGAATTGTTTGATAATACTGTCTTCACATTTAAAAAGCCAGAATTCACATTAGAAAATTAGAGCAGTATCTCTCTCTCTAAATATAAGATAAAGTAGCTAAAAAGTACAATGCATTATAATTTTATTAACACAAAATATGTTGACCTAGACACTTTCCTAGCCTGGACAGAATTTTAGTGAGACACTACGAGATAACTACCAGTGGATCAGGTTCGTATTTCTTATCCTTACGGCTATTTTGCAAGCTACTGTTCGTAGCTAAGAGCCAGGATAACTTATACTTGTAAGTAGTAGTCCCAGAAAATTCCACAGAGGCAGTTGCTAACTGATCTGCTCTGCATTTTTCCATGCCAAATTTTATTTCACTAACTACTGTTTTAACAAACACAGCAAACATTACTTGCTGGTTTTTTTTTACACTGCTCCCTCAATAGAAAAACACCCTTTCAACAGTGAAATGTATACAAATTATTAATTTTAGAAATGCTAAATGTATCCCAATATATCAAAAATATCCTTCTAGAACATGGGCATCAATAAAAAATTAATTTGTAAGCAAAATTATATTAAAGAATTGCTAAAAATCTCATCTTTCCATTACTCAATATCCGTACATCACTAAGAGTAGAAAAGGAACTTGAAACATAACTGAATATCAAGATATTTTGCAAAGCACACACATATAATTGCAATTGAAAGGGAGATTATTTACCTACAGTTGACAGTCTAATATATCCTTCATGTTCAAACTCAGAGATGCCTACACACAGTTCTGGAGCTATCTGAGTGCTATAATCACTGATGCCACAGAAATACTCTAGCCATAGTACTCAATGTGTTACATAAACACATGAAAAGCTGGTGACTCAAAACTCTGCTGGCCTTTTCCAATATTTAAAATCCCTCAAAAGGCTTAAGAAGGCAAAAGAATAGAGAAATATGGTTTCACAGGGGAAGAATATGCACAAAGTTGCTAGGGATATTAAAAAAATTCCTTTTTCCCCAAAGAACATTCACTATAGAGACTGAAGTAGGTAATATCTAATCCTCACTGAGAAAATACATAAACGTAGATGCTGGTCGAGAAGGACGTGATGGATATTAAAGACACGCAGGCACGGCCAGCACGGGCTTAAACAAATTGTTAAATATAGGCTTCTGAGACAGAGGCTACAGTTCTTGAACCAGGACCTGAAGACTTGTGAAAGCAGATCTAAAAGCTCAAATGGCAACTGTACTATGCATTGTTATATTACTGAAAGTTGCAGGAACCTACAGAAACTAATTGATTTGAGGGCACTGGGACATCTGCCCAGTCAAAGTCAGTTCTGGAAAGGCATCAGATCCATTTTAACAATCTCTTAAGTCCATGAAATTCTCCCTTGCTAGCAATCGGCAGAACTTGATGGGAAAGTTCATGAGCAGTATATTCTCACAATGCTTCTAGGTGCAGTAAATACTATAGCAGTAATTCTACTGTAGTCATGACCTAAGCATGTAAGATAGACAACAGTTGTAGGAAGAGCAAAAAACTTGTACTTGATCAACAGATACAGCCAGAAAAAATGGAGAAGCTTTGGGGTACACATGCCCTTCTTCAGATAATTGATTATATCCACATTCTCAGTATTTAGTTCCTAAGAGAAAAGATCTAAAAAGGCAATTCTCAGAACAGATCTACTCATATAAATTGTGGATAATAGCAAAATAGGGTATTTAGTGGTTAAATTAAAAGCATTAGCCACTCAACCAAATAAACTCAAAAAATGACACATTCAGAATGGAAAGAATGGAAAACTTGCCCCCAAAGTACTGTTTGCTTTATTCCTTAAAATTACCATATAAAAAAGTATTTAGATTTTCAATTGGCATTTAAAAAATAATTCTTCACAAGGTAAGGCAACATTCATTTCATTCTTTAGAATTAGTATCATCAAGAACATAATATAATCAAGAACCTGCAACAGGCATAATTCACTGGCACTTTTTCAAGTAACAAATGGCAAAGTTAACATAGGCTTGGTTGTCTGAAAGCTCATTTTTCCAATAGTATCTGCTGGTCTAATAAAGATATTTCTTTTTCAGGAACTTGCCTGGGCTTACACATTTTATACTGTTCCTTATATGTTGCTCTGCTATACTCTCTAATTGTGTAATCATTTATTTATTTGTGTTAAATTTCATTCGAAAATTGGAAATACTTTCAATTTTTTGCCATTTTTGATAGTTTAAATCTATCTATCCCAATTACTACTTGAAGATTGGCTAATAGATTAATGTTGGGTATACATTATTAAATTTCAAAAAACGAATGTATCCAGTGATAAATATTGAATTAATATTATATGTTAATTGTATGTGCAATTCATATGCAAAATATTCCCCTTTAGGAATACTACGAAAGGTTCTTGAATTGCTGTGCCTGGAAAAGATGATTATTCAAAGATCTTCTATCCTACTTCTCCAAAGCACTCCAATAATCATTTTTCTAGGAAAAGTAAGTCTGTAGGAGCAGACACCCAACAGCATCTTCTGACAAACAAGTAGTACTACGTTACCTCAAAAATCTGGAAAATTATGTGTGTTCTGTTAAAGTGAACTTGGAAGACTTGCATTCTCACTTCTGTTCCCTTTCATGCGTAATACTGCGCTCTGGAGTGCACGGTACCCCAGAGCAACACAAAGCAATACAATACAGAGCAATAACTGCTCTAGAGCAGTTTTTCTACCTGATCGACATCCCACATTATATATAACGTGCCATGTGGCATAAATGCCATTCTAATTTGTCCAGGAGTTTTTGAACCTATCCACACATGGGCAAAGCTTCACTCGGCCATCATCTAAAAACATGTTCTTAATTTAGGTTTAAAACTATTTACATACAGTTTAAGATACAAAGAAGAAATTTTATTTCCTTACAAGAGAAAACTGTTTTGTTTTCACAATTACTAACTATGTAGAATGAAAAGGTAGTGATACAGCTGGTACCATCATTCAAAAATTGCCAAATCAACAGTGACTAGCCAACTAAAACCTCAGCTTCCCCCAGTGACCCCACTTTCTGATTATACGTTCACTGTTCTACGCTATCACTCCTACGAGACTGGTTTTACTTTGGAGATAAAGCTTTCAGGAATCTGAAAGACTCCTTGTTGTCAGCAAGAAGGCATTTCTGTTTTACGGAGACTTGGAAGTGTATTGATAGCATTTGTCTTTGAATTTCATAGGCAATAATCACCCAGTCAAACATACTTGACAATTTTTGCTTGACTCTTGGGAAAATCATGGCACGCACATAAAATAAAGCAATGTGAAAGCATTATTTTCAACCTACCTTCTTTTGCCATTTTTAAAGCTTTTATTAGTGTTTTGATGGCCTTTTGGTGTTCTTCATTTTCTAGCATTTTGTCTGCTAGAATTGTATAAATTTTCCAGAGATATTCACATGCCAGTGAATTGTACGTACGGCCTGTCTCATCCTTCCACGTTGAGCCCACTGTTAGCTCATAAAATGCTTCATAGTGTTCAGCAGCTTTCATGATATGACCTGAAAAATGTCATTCATAATTACAATCAGTGTAATCCACGAAACTTTTGAAAAGCTATTAGCGTATAAACATTTTCTCATTAAAAAGTAAGTTGTATCCCAATCATTTCACAAATTTTTCAAGAATCTTCAGTAACTTAGAGATCGTTGGAAAATAATGCCAAATCTTACAGCTACCACTAATATTGTAATTCAAACTCATCACACAAACTACAAGTCAATTGACATGAAGCATAGGGAGGTTTTGCAATTAGCTTTCCTTTGTAGTTCACAGTACTAGGCATGTATGATCCCAAGGGTGCAAAGTCAGAATTTTCCAGAAAATAAATCTGTTACAGGATTATGAATACAGCCTTTGTGAATCTCGTATTTCAAAACCACATCTGCTCATAAATGATCACAGTTCAAACTCCCCCTGAAATTTCTTTCTCCATAATGAAAACCTGTGCTGTAAGATTTGAAATGTGGAGGGCAGAGATACCAAAACTGCAGAAAAAATTCTTTATTCAAATAAATTAATTAAAGAAAAATATGTTTATATGCAAAAAGAAATTTATTCAACAATTATTACTAGGCAAACTCTGGTGAATTTATATAGTAAGTTTACTGGAAGAGCATGAACTACTAATGCAGTAAGTAGCCTTACAGCCTAATTGAGCCTGAAGTAATATACTTTCAGGTCTTCAATTACTAAAACCTCTCTGGGGTAAAAGAAAGTTTGAAAATAAAGTTTAATTCACTTGAACATGCAAGCAGATCCTTCCTTCTCCCTCTCCTCCACAGCTAAATTTATCTCCCTGTATACCTGCAGTGTAGGAGATTTCCAGGCTGTCCATTTGGACAGTGGAAATTCAAAGCCCACTTGAAAGAACAGAAAAGATTTTCCTTATACATAATGGGTACAGGATAACTGCTAAGAAAGCAGGTGACCTAAAACTATTAACATTTAAAAAAAAAAAAAAAACCTGGACACCATGTTATACACAGCAAGGGAGAACCATGAAGGTTACACTTCTTCTCTCAGTCTGTGTCCAAGTGCCAGTATGTCAGATGGATCATCAATATATCAGTTTCTATTTCTATTAAAAGCTGAAACAAACCATACACCAAGTTTGTTAAGATATGTTGGCAGTTATTATCTCTTCCGAAACATGATTTATAAGAGATGATTACTGTTTTGCTGACTGACTGTACTCATACTAGAAAAAAAAAGACAGGAAAGAAGTGAAAACAAAGGATGGAGAAAGGAGAAAAGTTGTTGTTTTCCATTTGTAAGAAAGGAAGGGGGAGAAGCTCAGAGAAAGGCCTGCTTTAGGCATCCTGAAAGAACATGAAGCTAGTTCCCTAGGCCTCCAATCAACCTAAGACAGTGGAATAGCTGTGACAGATCCCTGTTATTAAGCTTAATTTAGATTTGGCTTTTGTACATATTTTCCTTTTATAACATTTTCAACTTTGTAATATAAAGCATAACCCTTAGCTTTATTAGAATTAAACTTGTTTTCATATTATGCTTCTCTAATGAAGAAGATGAGCTCAGCTAAAATTGACAAGCCCAAGAAACTTTGCTTTCAAAGAAGCAATGATTTTAGATTAAGTCAGTGCTACAGGCAAATTATTTTAGGTCTGGGGCAACCTATGATTCACGTGAAGATCTCAGAAGATACAACAAAGTGTCAAAGACTGAAGTGTCAGGTAAAAGGGTGGACATCCCGTCAGCAGGCACTATTCAGTTCCACTCTAGCTAAGGGAAGGTATTGTAGAGATGGCCCAAAGTGTTGGAAAAAATCTGATTGTCACAGTAGCCAGTAGGCTCTGCAGATAGACAGGAAAATATGTACATGTTATTTCCAAAATATCATGTACTTGACATAAGAGGACTGAATAAAAGATGCTAGGTTGAAAGAAACGTGAAGTGAAATTATCATAACCAGTATAAGCAGTTTGAGGATGCACTAAGAGTTTATGTAACAGGAAATAAGACAGACAGACAGACAGACTTGCTAAACCCAAATCAAACTTTTCCAGTCTAAAATGGCTTCCAAACAGCATTTGGGGTTCCGCCTATCGATTAACCGTTTACTGACTCACAAGTCAACAGAATTCCAGTTAACGCAAGCTGCTAAACAGGAAGCGAGTGCTGGCTTTGTTACAAAGGATGTAAGGCTGAGTAAAGTTTAACGTTAATAGCTAGCATGAGTACCCACTCGGATACTCATAAGCACAGACAGCTTCCTTCTGGGAACTCTCCCCAAAGTGTATGAAGCAACTGATTGTCCTTTTGAAAGGATATTGCCATGTGTTTATGTGATCTAGTTTTGCTAGATGTGTAATGGGACTCTTTGGAATAAGAGAGGTGGATGTATACTTTGATTCATGGGTAACTCAAACATTCTTGTAAAAACAGAAAGCAGCAAACGAATGGTATCACCTAGATATGTAATCTGAAACCTAATACAGTATCTATTTTTTTCCTATGGCTTAGAAATATAATCTCTCAAAGGCACCTAACATTCATGTAAAGAATATGCACATACCTCAGAACTACTGTTTAGATCATTAGAACTATCAGATATGATAATTCTTACTCATGCTCCCTCACTTGCAGTATCCCCTTGAGAAAGTTTCTGTCAGGATGGAAATTGAACTCATATATTCAATGTACCCCATAGTTCTTAAGAGTTGACCTAACCGTAAGAGCCTTGACCTGACATCCTTTTTGCCAGATCTCTGTGAAACCTCTTTCATCATCAGCAGCATCTACATCAAGCTTCAAAATACAAAAGCAGTGTATTCTGTTTGGTAGTATTCAAATGGAACTACATTAAAACAGATTTGACTCCATTCAACTACCAAGAAATAAAGACTGTGAATTAAAAAGTAATACAATCTGGTCAGAGAAACGCAAAAGAGAAGATGCTGCGCAAAAAAAATAAAGTAATTTAAAATAGCTATTCGTTTCCTAAGCAAGAGATGGAATTCCTGACCTGCAAGCCCTTACGAGACTGAGAATTTGCTTCCTGAAGAATCTTTCCAGTAATAATAACAATCTGCAATTAGCAGACCTCTCAAACTCATGGAAGGTAAAATATTTTAGATTTTGGAAATTCGTTCCTCCACCAAAATAATCTGAAATCCCTCCTCCTCATTGCCAACTGATATATCAACCTATTTCCTTAACCCATAATGTATGTGTGAACCTCAAATGCTTATGGAAAAATAATGTCTTCAGGGGGATGGAGAGTTTATTCATTGCGATGAATTGGTTCAGCTGGAATTACTTTGACAAGTGTATTCTTATTTTAAAATACTGAGCTACTGCAACTGTAGTACACATAGAGACAGGTGGTGCTATCTAAAAATTTTGAAAAGCATGGAGAGAAAGTGTAAGCCAGTTACAGAACACGTCAGAGCAAGAATATTTTTTTATCACTTGAACAGTGATAAAGTAGAGTTTTAAATGATTTTTATTATCAATTGAAAGAAGATAAGCAAAAAAAAAAAAACAACAAAAATGAAAAGAACGCTGAGTAAGACTTAGAATGGTTTGTGGAAGGGTATCTCTTATATTGCTTCAAGAATTCCAGGAGGAAAGCCAGGAGGTATTTCTAGGTAATCTGTATTTGAAAAATCTAGTTGCAAAATGCTATACAAGGAATATAGGTGTATTCAGTTTAGCAATATTAACAGCAGCAGTTGTATATTTCTTTTCCCTAATATTATTCAGAAATTATCCCAATATAGCCTAAACTAAGAGTCTGAGAATCTCTGATAACTCTACCTCTGTTACACAGGGAATCAAAAAACAGAAATGTAATACTTACAACACATAGTACCACTACTAAAATGTTAGTTTAATAGAATTCAGGGCACAACAAAAGAAACCCTATCCACATTTATTTAACCTTAAATATGGGAAGGAAATGGGTGTTACAATATAGTTCTTGAGTATAAGATCAGTTTTAAACAATTATGTGACTACAGAGATACTACTTGGCCACTAACAACATCAAATTTTAGAAATTACTCTTATTTTCATAGCCACTACATATGTATGCACAGATGTGCCACAGTTTTAACTGAACTGAATTAGTGTTGCTTAAAAGTCACAAAAAACAGATCTATTCATTCAAAAGAACTCAATGTAATTTTGTAAGTACTGGAGAGAAACATTTTCACATTATCTAGAACTTCCTTCATAATTCTCCTTTCTAAAACATCTTCCAAAAGTATACATTTGTTGTATCACAATAGATATCTTGGACAAATTTCAACCAAAGAGGGTATATATGGAGACTACTATTTGCCTTTTTTTTTTTTTTAAAGTAGAAAGATTGACTAGATATTAACACAAATGGGTTTAAATGTGAAGCTGCCATAAAAGCAGGCACATAAATGTAATTCTCCCAGCCGCTATTTTGATGCACATTTTTGATTCCATGAATATTTTATGAAATGGCCCAAACTAAAGCCATATAACATTCTTGCATTACTGATGCTTGCGCCCGTAAGCTACAAACATTAGAGGCATGATTGAGTGCATTAAAATGAACTCATTCAGCAGTGCATTGATTACTTGAGGGGGGGGGAGGGAGGAAGAGTTACTCCCACTTAAGAAAACAGCACACAAATCTGAAGTTTTCAATACAGAAATTAAAGACAGCAAATTTGAATAATGCGCTGCTTAATAAATAAATGCAATACAAATCTGTCAAGCGTTCTCTATATACAGCCCTGACATTAATTAGGTGGGATGTTAATTAGGTCCATAGATTGCTTCCAGTAGTGTACAGGTAATTTAAAATGTCACAATCTGCAAAATGCAGTGCCCAACCTGTTCTAGCTCCATGCCTCAACAACACTGAGAGGACCCAATGATTTTCTTTTCTATCAGCTCGTACATTTACCAATGAAAATAATGCCACAGAAACAACTGCGCAAAAAAAAAAAAAAACAGGTGATAGGTCTGTTAGGCACATTTCTTCAGCAGCACTAGTATA